GCACCCTCGAAGAGAACAATTCCTTCCCAATATCCCATCTGTCCCTGCCCTCTGGCAGTGGGAAGACATTTCTTGTGTCCTTTCACTACATGCTCCAAAATAAACAGGAGATCAGTGTGAGCTGGAAACCACTTAGCATAAAGCAATATCATCAGGGTGTTTTCCCAGGATCTTCATGCTGAATCCCACCAGATCCCGAGTGGTCATCAGAAGAAAGCGACGCCTCGCTGTGTCTGCTCTCTTCCCTCCTACCCAAGCCAGTACAGGCCCAGGAAGTCCTTCAGAGCAAGCTATGACTGTTAGAACTTTCCCTCTGCTGCTCAATCACATCTGATTTTGTCATTTACATCAACAGATCAAGTCTAAAAATACTGTGTGTGTCCAAGGGTGTTGTTTACTTAACAGCAACAGCTGTCAGAATCCATTAGCTCTCAGTTATAAAACTCAGATGTCTTTTAAAGAAACCCAACAAACAAAAAACCTCCTCTGCAAGTCCCTGGATTTCGATTTCAACTCATTTTCTTATGACTGCTGAGTGATGCAGCTGCAGGTTAAATGAGTTTGATGCTGGCTCTCACTGAAAATGCACTTGCATTCCCCAGGGCTATTCCTCCAAAAATCTGGCCTCTAATTCCTAACCCACACTGTGGCTGTACAGAGCAAGTTGAGGTGGATGTACAAAAATTCAGGGGTCTGTGTAAAAACTGGTGTATATGCACAAAACCTGATGTATAACCACAAAAACTGAGGTGTATGTATAAAATTTGAGGTGGATGTTTAAGATTGAGGGGGTTGTGTAAAACTGAGGTGTATAAAAGTGCTGCTGTAGTCATGCCTCTGGATTTTGAGGATATGAAGAGCTGGGAACACGCTGAGCAGGCAGAGAAGTTCTGCAGAGCTCCACAGAATAAGTTCTACATGTCCAAGTGCTGCTGCTGCCAAGGGGAATGAACTACTGACAAGTTCCCTCGGGGTTATGGGCTAAATTCTGCTTGTTAACCCCCCCAAAATGTCCTGGGAAGCAAAGCACCAAGAAGACCCCCTGATTCCTCACTGATTTATCTGAGAACTCAGGCTCTGAAGGCAGAGAAAAAGCATCTCTCATCTCAGGGCTTTCCTCTAGATGCTGCAAGGCTAGTCAAACTCTTGGGAAAGCGAGCTCCGTGGCCCTGGGCTGGCTGAGGGAGCAGGATGGGTCCTGCCACCTCGGTTGTGTCTGGCAGGGCAGAGCCTGTGCTCCAAATCAAGGGCTG